CACCTTTCATATAGACGCATATATATTTCTGACTTGTTTCCACACCTCTGGTATTGCTTATTGTGCCTTTTGCCTTTTTTTATTATTAGATCTGTCCCTAAATGATGCTTCACCTTCAGCCATCCTTTGAAAGACATTCATTATTATTTGACTAAGATCAGCTTTATCTTTCATAAACATATTTAAATTTTTATATCTTTATATAAGATGAAGTTATAATTTTAGACACTACTTCCCATTCCCCACATTTTAAAACACATTCTGGTATATTCTTTTATTTTCAAACTTTTGGTGATTTAATCTTTAATGACCCATGCTGATGTCATTAAATTATTACTATTTAAAATCTTCATGTAAAGTTAGTTTCTGATTTCCATTCTATTCTGTTTCATATAGGTCTTTCAAAAGCACTACAAACCACTACACTTAACCTGACTGCATTCTCACTAACAATTCTTTCTTTCTTAAGTTCTTAGTCTCATTTAAACTTCCCTTTCTATATTGTGCACACATACTTTCTCTTATAGTGTTTATGCAAATGAATGAGTAGATTCCAGTGCACATTACAAATGTTCTTTAGGTTTTAGTCTAGTTTTTTTTCCCCCCTAGCTTGTCTTCCTCTTTCCTTTCCTATTTTATCAATACTGTAAAATATATGGGGATTTTTATGTTAAAACTTTGTTTCTCACCAGGGAGTAATTTTGTACTCCAAGGGACATTGAGCAGTGACATATTTTGCTTCCACCCTAGGTAGGGGTCACTAAGGACAGGGATTCTGATAAGCATAACACAGTGCACAGAGAAACCCTGCCACAAAGATACAAAGAATAAGTTCTGATGTTCTATCACACAGCAGGGCGACTATGATTAACAGTTAAGTTTCATATATTACATAATAGCTTGAAGAGAGATTTGAATGTTTTCACCAAAAGAAAGGATAAAAACATGAGGTAACAGATAGATGAATTACTTTAACCCAATGACTATACAACATATATATGCATCAAAATATTGGATTGTACCCCATAAGTATGTGTAATTACAACATGCCAATTGTTTATTTATTTGTGTATTCATTTGTTTATTTATTTGTTTGTTTGTTTGTTTATGTATCTATTTATTTTGGCAGCTGGCTGTTTAAAAGGAAAGAAAACAAAGTGATCTGGCCTAAACTTTCAGCAGTGTTGAAACTGAGAAACTTTCCGTTCACAAATACCTGCATTTTGCCTATTTATACATGTCTCAGATTGTTCTCCCAAGACCTCGTAACTGTTCACATTTCTGCCAGCAAAATTAGAGAGTACGCCCTTGTTACCTGTTTAAAAGTTCTAATCCCACTCAGTGACACAACTCTTTAAGGTTTTTCCCAGGTTCCTGGTTTTGAAAGAGATTTCTTATTCTCTTAAACTATTACAGAGTTTTTGTTGTGGTGGTGGTGGTTTTGTCGTTTTTCTTTAATTTACTTTTTATTATACAAAGATGTGGGGTACAACGTTGATGTTCAGTAATTGATTATAATGTGTGGTGGTTAGATCAGTATAGTTAACTTATTCATCATTACAATATGCAACCATTCTTTGTGTCCATTTTCCAATTCCTCATTAACCCCTCACCTCCCCCACCCCACCCCTTTTCCACCTCTGCTTCTCTAAAAGTGAACGTATTAATGTGATTAAACAGAAGGAATTACTGAGTTTGAACAAAGATTCATTTATATAATCACCATTTTGACTTGCTCAATATTATTATATGCCCTTTTTAATATAGTTTTCAGCATTCCAAATTACTTTTACAAGTTATTGTTTCTAATTAACTGTGGGGAAAAATTTTTGCCCATAAAGTGTTTTGTATTCTATCTAATTAATTATCCATCTATACTCTTACTTCTGTGTCTCTTGCCTTAGTTAAAATGAATACCCAACCTGTAGATTTTCTGTGTAATCTTCTAGATATTCATCTAAAATTGTCATTTGCTTTTAAACTAAGATATTTAATTCCTCTGATTTTTTGTAAGCTGTGTAAGGCATGAGACCAACCTGATGTTCTTCCAGGTAGATAGCCATTTATGTCACCTTTAATTCACCCTTCAGCAAATAAATTAAAATACAACCTGGTCATATATTAAATGTCTATAGTTACTGAGACTTATTTTGTGATTCATTCATCAAATATTAAGTGGGCATCTACTATGCACCAGAACTTTCTAGAAATATTATGTATTCTTTTATGTCTAGATTTTATATCAACTTAATCATTAATTCATTTTATATCATTAAATTATTTTTATAGTATAGCTAGTTCCAGTTCTTTTTTTTTTTTTTCTTTTTTTTTTTTTGGTCCTTTTTCGTGACCTGTAAGGGGATTGCAACCCTTCGCTTGGTCTCGCCCGCACCACACTCAGAAAGTGAGCACACTGGCCATCCCTATATAGGATTCGAACCTGCGACAGGAGCGCCACTGCGCTCCCAGCACCACACTCTCCCGAGTGAGCCACAGGGTCGGCCCAGGTTCCAGTTCATTTTTGATGTTCATTCAATTTTGTTTAATACAGTTGTTTTAAAACCTCTATATTTAACAGGCTTTTATTACCCTGACATTCTTTTTATTTCATAACTTCCTTTCTTTAATTTATTTCTATGTAATGCACACATATTCACATACCTTTTGGAAAATACTAAAGTAAGCAAAGCAGGTGAAGTCTCTGCTCTTTTGGATCTTGTGTGATAATGATTAAGATATAGTACAATAAAATAAATATGTGCATGATATAATGCATTCAAAGATTAACTACATCAAGAATGTTTTTTAGTATAAAAGGATAGAGTTGTCATGGTGTGTGCAGCATTTCAGGGAAACCTTTGCATGTTGGACAAAGACCAGACCAAGACCAGAGTGTGCCTATCAGATTTGTCAAACAGAGAACAAAGCCCAAAGCCTAAGAAAAACAAAGAGAAGATGTCAACCAAGAAAAATGAGAGAGGAGCCTCCATCATTCACTAAGGAAACAGTAAAAACTAATTAGTCAAATAAATATGGAGTAGGCACAGGAAAACAAGTCTTCAGCTTCACGTAAAAATGCCCTAAAGTTGTGTTTCTTAGTCTATTTCTTTTTTGCATGGTTGATTTATGCCATTTGAATATTTTCTGCTATTGGGGTGCTCTATTTCTAAGTGTCTTTGCACTGTTTGGCAAATTTTCCTCTTTTTATGATTCTTTTTGTTGCACCTCAAAGGATATCATAGGAGTTAGATTGTCTCCAAAAGCAAAGAAGCTTTTTTGTTATTGCAATTTCTCAGACATAACTGAGCAATTTAGATCTTTTCTTTTACTGTGTTGCTTCAATGAATTTCTTTCTCTCTGTTTACTGGACAGATAACTCATGTTTCTTTAAACACGGAGCAAAAAATGGCCATTCCAAAGTGGAGCCTCAAGATTACATGTGTATGGGAGATTTACAAACTGGAATTTCTGGGAATGAATTCTATGTTCTGGAGAGGAGAGACAATCTGATAATTATAACTTGTCTGGTGTCTACTGCTTTCTAATAGTGTGATTGGAGGTATGAAGAACATGGTATTAACATTGCCCAAGAAGGCCACTTTGTGCTGGCTGTGTATGTGTGTGTGGTGTGTGTGTGTGTGTGTATGTGTGTGTGTGTGTGTGTGGAGTGCTTGCATGCAGCTTTAGGAAAGAGCACAGGCTTAAGAAAATGGGCCCTAGGCTCAACACATTCCAAAACATGACATACTAAAGAGCAAAAATCTCAAGACCACCTATGGAAATATAAAGGAGCTGTATTTCTATCACAGGACATCTTTGCAACCAATTTAATAAAGTAACATGCAATATCTAGGCTGAGGGATGCATTACGTCCCAAAGATTAAGCAGCAACGAGGCCACCTCTCATCACTCTCCCTTTGCTCATCCCCCTGCCACACTGGCTTCCTCGTCGGCCATGAACAAGCACCTTCCTCTGGGCCTTTGCACTGGCTGTTCCTCCTGCTGGGAACACACTTCTGCAGGTGACATTGAGACTCTCGCCCTGTCTTCATTATGGTCTCTGTACAATTGTCACCTTGCCTTGCGGTCTTTATCAAATTCCCAGTGAAAAGCAATAACACCACATCCATTCTTTCCTTCTTATCTTCTTTCTTTTTCTTCACAGGATTTGTCACCATCTGACGTAGTATATGGCATTTTAGAAATTTGCTTGTATTCTTTTTTCATTTTTAGATTGTAGAGACTTTTATTTTACAGCTCTATTCATTAAGTGACTATGCATTCCTGAAAAATGTCAAAATTCAAATTATTTTTCTCAAATGCATTAAAGAGTTTCTCCTTGTAACTGTAGAAAACATGCTCTCAGGAAAAGGCTGAGAGTGGGATGGAAATTCTTAATAAGAAATGGAATGGGAATCCCTAAAGGAGATCACATTCAAACAAAAAATATAGAAATTACCTTCTGATAGATTGGAGGTTTCCAGAGGGTGGGGCAGTTGTGACAGGGTGGGGTTTGGATTGAGTGCATATAGTAGAAAATAGAACAATACAGTAAGAGAAGAGGAATGAGCTCAACAGACCTACTGTGCAACTTGGCAACTACAGTTAATTATGCTAAATTGTATTGAAAAATGCAAAGAAGCAGAAGTGTTCTCAACCTGAAAATGATGACCATGGAGCAATGTATAGGTTAATGGCTAGATTTAGCCACTTAAAAAAGTATATATATTTTCAAACGTTGGTGTTCATAATAAATGTACAAAATTTTATGTGTCAATATAGAAAGAAATTAGAAGAATAAAAGGAAGAAAAAAGGAAAGAGACAGAGACAGAAGAAGGGTGGGAGAAATGCAGGGAGGATGGAAGGGTGGAAAACAGAGATGAAGACAGAGAGAGAGAGAAGTTAATTTCCTGACTGTAGAACATAAATGAGAGCAATTCTCATAGGTGAGTACTACATGCTTGTGTCATGATGATTTTCTCTTTTCTTTGTAGTCACATCAACCACATGGAACCAGGGAATGATACACAAATTTCAGAATTTCTTCTTCTGGGATTTTCAGAGGAACCAGAACTGCAAACCTTCCTCTTTGGCCTGTTCCTGTCCATGTACCTGATCACTGTGCTTGGAAACCTGATTATTATACTAGCCACAATCTCAGACTCCCACCTCCACATGCCCATGTACTTCTTCCTCTCCAACCTGTCCTTTTCTGACATCTGTTTCACCTCCACCACCATCCCAAAGATGCTGATTAATATACAGACACAGAGCAAAGTCATAACCTATGAAGGCTGCATCACTCAGATGCACTTTTTCATACTCTTTCTAGGGTTGGAAGACTTTCTCCTGACTGTGATGGCCTATGACCGTTTTGTGGCCATCTGTCACCCCCTGCACTACACGGTCATCATGAACCACTGGGTCTGTGTGTTGCTGGTTCTGGTGTCCTGGATGATGAGTGTCCTGCATTCTCTCTTACAAAGCTTCATGGTGTTGCTTCTGTCCTTCTGTACAGACTTGAAAATCCCCCACTTCTTCTGTGAACTTAATCAGGTGGTCCATCTTGCCTGTTCTGACACCTTTCTTAATGACCTGGTGATATATTTTGCAGCAGGGCTGCTGGGTGGTGGAACCCTCTGTGGGATTCTTTACTCTTATTCCAAGATAGTTTCCACCATTCGTGGAATCTCATCAGCTCAGGGGAAGTATAAAGCATTTTCCACCTGTGCATCTCACCTCTCGGTTGTCTCCTTATTTTATGGTACAGGCCTAGGAGTGTACCTTAGTTCTGCTGCTGCACAGAACTCACACTCAAGTGCTACAGCCTCAGTGATGTACACTGTGGTCACACCCATGCTGAACCCCTTCATCTACAGTCTGAGGAATAAAGACATAAAGAGGGCTCTGAGGAGATTCTTCAGAGGAAGCCAATGAAAGAACCATTTTTTTCCTCTCTTTATTGTGGTATAATATATATAACAAGATTTGCATTTAAATGATATTTAAACACAAAATTCCATGGAATTAATTATATTCAGAATGCTGTAAAACCATCACCTCTATTTTTAACATTTTTCAACATCATCCTAAATATAAACTCTGTACCAATTAAGCATTATTTCTCATTATTCCTCTCCCCACCCACTCAGTTTTTGGAAACCTCTGGTCTACTTTTGCCTCTGAATTTTTTAAATTTACTTTTACTTAAATGACCAATGATAATTATATATATTTAAAAAGTACAGTGTGATATCTGGGTGCATTTACACAGTGTGCAATGATCCTAAAAGGATAAGTAATATATCCATGAACTCAATCATTTGTTATTTCTTTGTGTTTGGAACATCCAGAATCCTCTTTGCTGCCTATTTGAAATTATACAAGCCGGGGCATGGAGAAGGGGACTGGACCTCTCCGACAACCAGGCACACTGAGCCAGTGCCTTGGCACCCACCCAGGAACCCGGGGTATGGACTTGGGGACTGGACCTCTCTCCAACAACCAGGCACACCAAGCCAGTGCCTCAGGGCCCACCCATGATCCCGGAGCATGGAGAAGGGGACTAGACCACCCTCCCACAACCAGGCACACCATGCCAGCACCTAGGGCCCTGCCCAGGGATTCAGGTCATGGAGAACGGGACCAGACCACCCTCCCACAACCAGGCCCACTGAACCAGTGCCTTGGGGCCCACCCAGGGACTCTCCCACATATGAGTGAGATAATGGGGTAGTCCTCTTTCTGTGTCTTGTTTCACTTAACATAATCCTCTCCAAGCTCATGCATGTTGCTGCAAATTACAGAATTTCATTCTTTTTAATGGCTGAGCTGTATTTCATTGAGTATAGACACCTCATTTTCTTTATCCAATCACACAAGGATGGATATTTACATTGGTTCCAATCTTGGCTATTGTAAATACAATTGCAATAAATATCGGAGTGCAGGTGTCCATTCAGCATGTTGATTTCTTTTCTTCTGGATATATACCTACTACTGGGATTTTCTGGATCATATGATAGTTCTACCTGTAGTTATTTG